TTAAGTTTTTAAAAAACTTGGTATTAGGTATGGTATTTGGTATTTCAAGATAAAATACCGAAATACCGATACCGTACCGAAATATATATTATATTACACAAAACACATATTATCAATTATAACATAAATATAAAAAGTCTAAATTTTACTTTCCTTTATTCTCAAAATTCATCAATTAACTCTAAACAAGTAACAAGACATTTCTAATGATCAAATATTCTTTTATGTACAAGTTTCTCTATTTGGGTCGATATTTGCTAGTTTTGGACAAAAATTTTGTCAACAAACATTTTTAGTTTTGTATTTTTGAGCTTTAATTAAGAATATTAGATTGTATGGCTCTATGCACTAGTTAGTATTCAAACCGAATAAACCGAAGTTACCGAACCGAATAAAACGAAACCGAAAGGAGAAAAACCGAACCATATTGAATTTAATTAGGTACGGTATTGGTATAGGATTTTAAGAAACCGAATACCGAATCAAAATGCCTAAATACCGTACCGTACCGACCAACGAACACCCTTATCATAGTGGCATTGACTAGCCTCTTTCTTTTCCTGGAGTTGACTTTCAAGAAATTTGAATTGACGTCAGGAGATTATTATATACTCTGTTTCATTTTCTATTTTTCTGGTTTTCTAAGAGAGAAGACTATGGCTTAGAAAGGATCTAAAACTTGTCATCAAGATTACCCGTTTGGCATTACGTTAAACGAGTAATTATCGTCAAACAGAGGGTTACTAATTAAATTTTACCTTTTGCATGGTAAGTGGAAGTCTCAAACAAGCAAATTTATAATGTTACCTTTACATATGAAAAATTAGGAGTGTACCAAATCCTAGCGATAACAAAGATGCAGAGTTACTAGGTACCTGTGTTGGTGGAAGATATAACAGGTATTCATCGAAATAGTTAAGGTACGCGCAAGCTGATCCGAACATGACCATCATAAAAAAAAACGATCAGTTGTTCTTATCTTCAACACTTATAAGCCAGAAGGAATATTTGTACGTCATTGAATGAGCTGAATTAAAGTAGGAGAAAAGAAATAAGGAGATGGTCTTGAAGCAAATTCCGAACATTTCATTCAACATCTAATGAATAAATAAAACATTTTAAGCTTTGTATATAATGGTCGTTGCCTTACTTTTCTCAAAGAGTTGTCATTGACTTCAGAATCTGAGTCATCTACATTTCTTTTTCACTTTGTTGGTTCTTGATAAACGAAATTAAGGGAAATAACTGGGAAGATGACAAGAAAATAAAAAAATATACTGGAATAGATGTAAAAGGAACTGAAGCTGAAAATACTATATAATTTTACTGCATTTGGACTACAATTTATAAGAGAAATACTAACTTAAAAGACCTAAAAATCAGCACAAAATCTGCTGAAAATAACAAACTCCTAGAGACTAGTTCACTCCTAAAGACTAGTTCAAAATTATTTCAAATTCAAACTAAATTACTGCAGTAAATAGCTGAAACAGTAAAATAATTTTACTGAGAGCAGCTTCTAAAGCATATTTCTAACTCTCCTCCTTGCTTTTGAAGCTGCAAATTCTGAATTTGTCCCTTGTAAACCTTTAACTGGAAGCGACTTTGTACGTAAATCTGCCAACAGATCTTTGGACTTGCAGTGAATCGAGTTCACTTCAGTATTTTGCTGCATCTCATGATTGTTAATGAAATAAGTTGGCTCGTTTTTCAGCTTCATTTGCATCTTGCCTTGAGACTTGTCAACTTTCTTCCAGAATTGCATTTTCTGAAATATTGACAACTTCTTCCTTACCTTATTTTCACATATGTCCTCAGTTGGAGAATTACCTGCACTTAGTAGATTCTTTTGGCTCCATTCTTCATCTTCGGTTGGATCAAATGAGAAATTTTTACCTCTCATTTTAACCCTTAAAATCTCAAGTCCAGTTGCATCATAAATGAAATAATATTTATCTTCAAAGGATACTTTAAATCCTTTTTCCATTAGTTGTCCAACACTTAATAAATTTTGATCAATATCAGGAACATAAAGAACATCTGAAATTTTCTTAGTACCTGAATTTGTTGGGATTGCAACAGTTCCTTTTCCTTTAGCAAGAATATAATCACCATTTCCAATTCTGACTTTCTTATTTCCTATAGACGTGAACTCTTTGAAAAGATTTATATCATATGTCATGTGGTTTGTACAACCACTGTCAATCAACCAAAAATCAGATTTTTTTGGTTGAAAGAATAGTTGCCACAAACAAGTGATCTTCTTCTTCTTCATTGGCGACTTGGNATGATAGACACACACCTGCTTTAATAATCTCTGTATTAGGACATGGTTTGATCCCAGTATCAGTCCCCATTAGTTGCTTGAAAAAGGTGACAAATTCTCTTTCCACTTCTTTAGGTTCTGTGACTCTAGATCCCCCTGCATCATAAACAGATGTTATTGCATTCCTACTTGCTCTCATCTTCAGTTGGGCATAGAAATATTTGGAATTTGAATCTCCATAATCTATCCAGTTTACTCTTGATTTTTGCCTCAGAATTCTTTCTTCTATTGTACTCCATTTCTCTATGTCCTGGAGTATCTGCTTTTCTTCCTCTATCATTTCTTGATTAAGGGGACTAATTTTCAGATTGTTCTGCACATACTCTAATTGCTGCCTGTGATAGTTCAATCTTTTCTCATAACTTGCCATCTCCTTATTCAGTCCCTTTGTTGCAGTCTTCAATTGCTGCAATTTCTGCCATATACTGTCCATAGGATCACACTCTTTCTTCTGCCTCCATATGTCTTCTAGCATGGGTTTAAACTCATTATGCTCCATTGTCACCATGTACATCTTGAATGGTTTGGGATATAGATTCTTCCTCTTCCAGATTTGGATCACTATAGGAGAATGATCTGATACTCCTAGTTCTAAACAAACAGCATCCACATGTCCATAGTTTCTGATCCACTCAAAGTTGCCAAAGACCCAATCAATTTTGCTATACGCTCTATCATCTGCATGTTGTTTATTGCACCAGGTATAAAAGCAGCCTTTTGTGTTCAATGTGGTCAATTGGATTGAATCAACACACTCCTTGAACTCTTTTATCTCATTCATGGTGACTGGAAGTCCCAACCTATCCTCAGTGCTTAGAACACTATTAAAGTCCCCACTTATAAGCCATGGGGTTTGAATCTGGCTTCCCATCATTTGCAATTCACTCCATAAGCTTAGTCTCTCCTGTTGCTTGTTTCTAGCATATACTATTGTTAACATAATCTGATTCCCAGACAATGCATCCTTCACTTCACAATGTATACATTGTTCATGAACTTGGACAACATTTAGTGCTACATTTGCCTTCCACATCAACTAGATTCTGCCATTTTCTGCTTTTGTATAGTTGCAGCAATAACCCCAGTCTCTTACTACTCTGTATAGTATTGTTTTTGCCTTTTTTCTCTTTTACTCTTGTTTCTAAACATCCTAATACATCTACCTTATTCTTCTGCAAAAAGATTTTCAACTCTTTTTGCTTGTGGGGCTTGTTTAGCCCCCTTATATTCCATGTGCTAATGATCATGGGGGGTGTTGTATAGTACCAGGAGCCAGACCCCCTCCCTGTGCAACTGTTTGGCTCAATTCACATAATATCTGAAATCTATTTGCATTGCTTCCTTCAGTATGACAGTGCTGCTTGTCTAGTGATTGGCTTTGTTCCCCTTTTCCTGCAGCATTTTGTACCTTCTTGCCTTCCTGGTTTGCTTCACCTTCATGTAACTCTTCCTCCTCTCCTGTGAGGTTCTGCACTCCCTTTGTTTCTTCCTGCTTCTCTTCCTTCTCTTGTTGTTCTTTAGGTTTCCATTCCTGGATGATTCTTCTTCTTCTGCCCCTATTTCTTCTCTTTGGAATTTGAAATTCTTCAGTTTCCTCAGGCTTGTTTGACTTCCAGCATTCAAAGACATCATGCCCAAAGTGTAAACATTCAGCACAGAACCTAGGTTTCCATTCATACACAATTTCCTGCTGTTTAACACTCGTAGGAGTTATAATTTCAACACTCTCCACCAGTGGTTTTGTTATATCAACTTTCACTAGAACTCGTGCATAAGAGATTTTCCCTAACTCAGCAGTGTATTTATCAGTGTACATTGGAATCCCTACACCACTTGCTACCTTGCTTAGTGCATCTGTTGTCCAATATCATACTGATAGGCTAGGAATTTGGATCCAAAGTGGAATTGTAGTGATACACTTAGGGTCAAATTGAAAGTCTCTCTCCCAGTTTTGTAATATCAATGGTTTATTATGATAATTGTAAGGTCCTGCTTGCATTACTGCTTCTTTGTCCTTTACATTTGAAAATCGAAACACATAGTATCCTTCATGATGATATAGAATTTGGGGTTTATCTACAAAATCCCACACTGATTCTATATAGTTCACCATGGATTTCTCATATGGTGTATCCCCCAAAACATATCCAATTAACGCATTATCCCAATATTCCTTAAGCTCATTTACATCTTCTTCCTCTATTTGTATAATCACCTTACCTTCTCTGTGGCTAGGTGGTACATATTCCAGCTGCATCCCCATTTGAGAATACCTGTTCTGCTTCCTCGCCTCCTTTGCATGTACTTCTGCATCGACTTCCTTGACCTTTGACTCCAGATCTGGCTTTGAGATTTGCTTTGATGACCCAGCTTCTGAGAATTGGAGTCGCTTTGGACTCGTTGGTAGCTGCTCTTTCCCTTTCTGAACACAGATCTCTGTGTTCTCAGCATTACTGTTCCATTGCGTATTGTTCATCAGCTCATTTTCACTTAGCTCCTCTTCTTCTCGAATCGGTTGAAACCCAGCTGGTAAGAAACTTTCAAAGGTTAACGGAGTTATAGTTTGCGATCTAGCGTTCACCGGCGTGGTAACGTCGACCACCGGTGTTGTTTGTTTGCGTCTCCTAGCCATCAGAGGTGCACGTTAGCCTGCCTTGGCTTATCGTGCGCCGCTCTAGTGCTTTCTTTGGATCACAAACAGGGTACAACCACTGTCAATCAACCAAAAATCAGATTTTTTGGTTGAAAGAATAGTTGCCACAAACAAGTGATCTTCTTCTTCTTCATTGGCGACTTGGGCATCTACTTCATGCTTTTGATATTTGCCTTTGCAAATTACAGCTTCATGACCAAGTTGGTTGCAAATTTTGCACTTTGCATCTGGCCTCTTCCAACATTTGAATGGTGGATGACCTTTTTTGCCACAGTGCTGACAAGGCGGGTAATTTTTTTTAACATTATTACCCTTGCTTTGAATTTTGTGGTTGGCTGCCAGGGCTCCTTCAACCATACCATCTTGCCTCATAAGCCTCCTTTGCTCTTGTGCCTGCAATGTATTTAACAATTCTGCCAAGGTAATCTTAGATAGATGCTTTGTATTTTCCAAGGTAGTTATGGATACTTCATATTTTTCAGGCACCGTAACAAGAATTTTTTCAACAATTCTTGAATCTTTAAATTCAGTACCAAGCAATCTTACCTTGTTAACAATGCCAAGCAACCGATCTGAGTATTCTTTGACAGTCTCAGATTCCTTCATTTTCTGCAACTCGAATTCCCTTATTAAATTCAGCACCTTCATGCCTCGTATTCTTTCATCTCCTGTATATTCTCCCTTCAGATAATCCCAGATTTCTTTTGCTGATTTGAGAGCCATAACTCTCGTGAAAATTGTTGCAGACACCCCAGCAAACAAAGTTGCTTTCGCCTTTGATTTCCTGGTTTTCTTTTCCTTGTGACTCTTGATCTGGGCTACGGTGGGATTGTTAGGCAGCGGAAGAACATCATAATCCTCTTCCACGGCCTCCCAAAGATCTAAAGCCTCCAAGTAAGTCTCCATTCTCACTGCCCACAGTTGGTAATTTTCACCATCAAAGACTGGAGGAGCCAATTGAGAAAAACTCATTTCAGTCTCCATCTCACTCAAGAAAAAGATTTTACTTAGGTCCCTTAAGAAGATGGCTCTTGATACCAATTGTTGGTTCTTGATAAAAGAAATTAAGGGAAATAACTGGGAAGATGACAAGAAAATAAAAAAAAATATACTGGAATAGATGTAAAAGGAACTGAAGCTGAAAATACTATATAATTTTACTGCATTTGGACTACAATTTATAAGAGAAATACTAACTTAAAAGACCTAAAAATCAGCACAAAAAAATCTGCTGAAAATAACAAACTCCTAGAGACTAGTTCACTCCTAAAGACTAGTTCAAAATTATTTCAAATTCAAACTAAATTACTGCAGTAAATAGCTGAAACAGTAAAATAATTTTACTGAGAGCAGCTTCTAAAGCATATTTCTAACACACTTCAACCTGGAATAACAATTTTCTAAAGTATACAAATAAAGTAGTCACTAAGGTTTGATCAATTTTAATTTCTATTATTCTTTTGGCAAGACAGGTTCTCTTTTCCAAGTACAGATTTGACTTAAACCGTACTATATTAATGAGATGAATAAAATTGACTTAAGATGTGACATATATGGATTAAAGATGGAAAACATGACTTAGTGCCGAAGGCATCGTAGTTGAAATTAGGCATTGTTCTGTTGAATTCGCTCTTGGTAATAGATGTTGAATTTGAATATAATTTGTTAAGAATTACTCATGCCCGAAAAATTCTATCAGACTTGTTGGGAGATCTTAAGACAGGAAATAAGACTATGGACCTTATGGTGTACAGTATAATAAGTTGAAGGTTGCAATTTTCCAGATTATATACACACATGTACTAGTTTTATCCCAAAGTTGGAGCATCATAATCAATAGTAGGAGATCAAAACTATTACAACAACAACAACAACCACCCATATAATTCCACAAGTTGGGTATGGGAAGGGTAAGATGTAGGCAGCCTTACCCCTATCCTGGAAGGGCAGAGAGACTGTTTTCGATAGATCCTCGGCTAAAGAATGTGAGAGAAGCCCCGATAGCAAGTAATAGCAAGACAAATAATTAGAAAACTAAATCGAAGATAGCAACAGAGAATATGAAAGGAGTACCAATAACAAGTAATATCAAGATAACATATTTAGAAAACTAATTCCAAGGCAGCAAACGACAATATGAACGAAGTACTGCTAGCAAACTACGGAATTACCGATGGCAAGTAACAACGGAACGAGACATGCGAATATAGCAAATTAAGGAAAAAAGGGTACCGTACTAGCGCTAATACTATCGAGCCAGAGAAGACAAAAGGAAACACACGACTACCTACTAACCTTCTACCCTAATCTTCAACCTCCACACCCTTCTATCTAGGGTCATGTCCTCGTTTAGCTCAAGCTGCGCCATGTCCCGCCTGATCACCTCTCCCCAAGACTTCTTTGGCCTACCTCTACCCCTCCTCTCACCTCCCAAGGCCAACCTCTCATATCTCCTGACAGGGGCATCTGTGTTTCTCCTCTTAACATGTCCGAACCATCTCAACCTTGCCTTACGCATCTTTGCCTCCACAGGGGCCACTCCCACCTTGTCCCGAATAACTTCATTCCTAACTCTATCCAACCTAGTATGCCCACACATCCATCTCAACATCCTCATTTTTGCTACTTTCATATGCTGGACATGGGAGTTTTTGACTAGCCAACACTCTGTCCCATACAACATATTCGGTCTAACCACTACCTTGTAGAACTTACCCTTAAGTCTCAATAGCACATTCTTATCACACAAGACACTGGAAGCGAGCCTTCACATCATCCACCCTGCTCCGATACGGTGTGTGACATCCTCATCTATCTCCCCATCCTTTTGAATTATAGATCCCAAACACTTGAAACTCTCTCTCCTGGAAATGACTTGCGTATCGAGTCTCACATCCCCATCCGCCTCCTGGGTAACACCGCTGAACTTGCACTCCAAGTATTCTGTCTTGGTCCTGCTCAACTTGAAACCCTTAGAGTCCAGGATATGTTTCCAGACCTCCAGCCTCTCGTTAACGCCACCTCGTGTCTCATCGATCAGGACTATGTCATCCGTAGATAACAAGCACCAAGGCACCTCCCCTTGAATGTGACGCGTCAAAGAATCCATCGCCAGGGAAAACAAAAACGGGCTAAGTGTTGATCCCTAATGCAACCCCATCTCAACCGGAAAGTAATCAGAGTCTCCTCCTACTGTCCTAACCTCTGTCTTAGCTCCATCATACATGTCCTGAATCACTCTAATATACCCTACATGCACTCCTCTAGCCTCCAAACATCTCTATAGAACCTCTCGGGACTTTGTCATAGGCTTTCTCCAGGTCAATGAACACCATATGTAAATCCTTTTTCACCGCCCTATACTGCTCCACCAATCTCCTCACAATGTGAATGACCTCAGTTGTCCACCGTCTCGACATGAAACCAAATTGGTTCTTAGAAATGGACACACACCTCCTCAACCTCTCTTCAATCACCCTCTCCCATACATCGTATGTCTTAACAACTTGATACCCCTATAGTTGTTGCAGTTTTGGACACCCGCTTGTTCTTGTACAACGGGATCATCGTACTCCGCCTCCACTCTTCGGGCATCTTCTCCGTCCTAAAAATGACGTTAAACAACCTAGCAAGCCATTCTAAGCCCTCCTTACCCACGCTCTTCCAAAATTCCACCGGGATCTCGTCCGACCCAGTCGCTCTACCCCTACTCATCCTACGCATAGCCCCTACAACCTCCCCCACTCGTATACGTCTACAGTACCCAAAATCTCGCTGTCGCTCCGAGTACTCCAACTCCCCTAGCACAATGCCCATATCTCACTCTTCATTCAAGATTCTATGAAAGTAAGACTGTCATCTCTGCCTAATCTGCCCCCTCCAATAAAAATCTTCCCTGCTCATCTTTTATGCATCTCACTTGGTCCAGATCCCGAGCCTTCCGCTCCCTCACCTTCGCTAACCTGTACAACTTTTTGTCCCCGCCTTTATCCCCAATTTCTTCGTATAAATGACTAAACACCGTCGTCTTAGCTGCAGTAACCGCCAACTTCGCCTCCTTCCTAGACTTCTTATATCCCTCCCTGTTTGTACTCTTCTGCCCCTCGTTTATACTCTCTACTAGCTTTAAATATGCTGCTTTGTTTGCTTCCACTTTCCTTTGAACCTCTTCGTTCCACCACCAGTCGCCCTTATGGCCACCAGAAAAACCCTTTGAGACCCCTAACACCTCTCTCGCGGCATCTCTAATACAATTTGTTGTCATAGACCACATACAACTCGCATCCCCACTACTCCTCCTGGCCCCCATAGCCAGCAACTTCTCCCCCAACTCCTGGGCCATGTCCTTAGTCAATGCACCCCACCTGACCCTAGGTATACCAGACATAGCCCTATTCTTCCTCGTTCACCTGATCTCTAAGTCCATAATAAAAAGCATATGTTGGGTCGTAAGATTCTCACTCGGGATGACCTTGCAATCTGTGTATAAACCTCTATCATATTTTCGGAGAAGTAGATAATCAATCTGGGTCTTGGCCACCGTACTCTGAAAAGTTATCAGGTGCTCCGCCTTCTTCGGTAACACGAGTTAGCGATCACCAACTCAAAAGCTTTAGCGTACTCTAGCAGTGAAGTACCTCCTCCATTTCTATCTCCAAAACCGAAACCACCACGCACACAATTATATCCCCCAGGCGACCTCCTAATGTGGCCGTTAAAATCACCCCCTATAATAAGCTTCTCGGTGGACTGTATACCCTACACCAACCCATCCAAATCTTTCCAGAAGCGTCTTTTAACCTCCTAGTCCAAACCCACCTGAGGCGCATAAGCACTAACTACGTTCAGAGTATACCTCCCACGACTATCTTAATGGCCATCAACCTGTCAATCACCCTCTTATCCTCAACCACTAGCTCCATTTAATCCTTATCAACTAAAATGCCCTACCCCGTTCCTCCCTCTCACCCTCCCTGAATACCACAACTTAAACCTGGAAAAAATTTCATCAAAATTACCTCATACAAATTTTTAATGAAAGATTAACCAACACGTTCATTAATCTCACAAAACCAAAATGGGATTATAAAGGGAAGGATAATAAATGAGAATGTCCAACATGGTCTATATGGAGCCTGATAGAAAGTACACTGGGTTCTATATGGAGAAAAAGGGATCTAGATTAAGCATCTGGTTTTATACAGATGATATTATATTTATTTTTGTCAGGAACAAGGTAATCCCTCAGGTTTGTTATGAAGATATAGACAAATGATAATATCAGGACAAATAGTACAAGGGAAAATGCTTCTTCTATGTAGCTCCAAAAGAATTGTTTTGGCTCCTTATTAAAGCAAAATATCTAAAAAGAGTTTTAAGATAGCGGGAATACGGGCAGTCACATCTGTCGCGCCCCCTTTTTTCTTGCGAAATCGGGTTTATGACATTTGGGAGGACAACTCATTCCTTTTGGAAATTGGGTTTGATTTAAAGAGTCGCCACCTAATGATTAGGGTGCATTAGGACACCAAGGAGATTTGATTTGAGTAACCAGAGATTGGGTAAGGGCTTGAAATTATTCTAAGGGGAAGGTGTTAGGCACCCCTCAGAATCCACTAGTGTGGTTCCCGGCAAGACTATTATTGTGAATTTGGGTAAAATTATCATATAGACAAATAGGGCTCAAATAAGAGGGGATTTCATCATATAAAGGTTTGAAAGAGTAATTAAAAAACTGATTTTAAAAATAAAGAGTTAAAATGCTGAAAAGAAAGAAATAAAGGGAGAGGGGTCCTAGGTTTATTAATAATATGGATCACCCCACACATGCCCGGTAATCACTCCTCAATGAGGGGCTACACGTGACATTATCGTGTGGTCATCATATCCATATCTACCCTTCCCACCCCGTTAAGGTATTAAAGCGCGGAATGGTCTCGTTTACCTATTGCATGCTACTACCCGTCCCAATCCTATCAGTCCCG